GTAATACAAGTGCAGTGTGTGTAAGAGGGGGCATCAAGAAGGCTAAAGCAAATCTGGTAGGGGAGAGGGAGTAATCTTGTGCTGATGTGAAGCCCAGTGACTCCTCAGCAGGTCTGGGGAATTTTTTAGATCCCACACTGACCTGGGAAACAGGAACAAAAAAGAGAAGATTATTCCTAGCATGCATCTCTAGATGAGTTCAGGGAAGGGATGGGTTGTTAGTGGATGAGTTTCATGGGTGTTTGCTGACAGCAGAAGTGTGTTGGGACCAGGCAGCCTCTGAAGGAATGCACAGAATATAAACAGAAATTAATATATAATGTGGAATATAAATGTTGCAATCTGCTCCCTTCTCTCCCTCCCTTTGATCACACCAGCAGAGTTTGGTGTCCCCTTCCCAGCCTCTTCCAGTGTAGCCCAACTGTGCTTCTGCTCCATCTGCACCATGTTATCCCCATTATAGGTGTTTTCTAGTGCTGCCTCCCAATTCTCCTGTTCCCTCTCCCTGCCTCCTTGTCCTATAGACTGTGGCCCATGTGGCACCACAGATACAGACATGAAGCTGTGCAACCACCAGTTTTCCTGAAGTTTGGCCAAGCAGATTGCAGAAAGTGACTCCAAAGTTTAGTTTGTTCTGTGTTTAAAAGAGTTTGAGTTATTTTTTTATCTAACAGCAAGGCCTGCTTCAGAGCTTTTATATTCTGTATATCATCTAACCATTTTAGCATCTTTCAATTTCCTTTTTCCCAAAAAAATCTGTCCCAGTAAAGGTTTATTGGACATATATGTCTAAAAATCCCCCTTGGTTTAAAAAGCAACTGAATAAACCAAAAAATGAAACAACACTTTCCATTGGGAATTTCATCACTGACACCAAAAGAGATCATGTGGTCTTTAGGAGTAGATACTGTGTAATGGGAGAGAGGTACTTGATTCTTCTCCATCCTCTGTGAGTCAGATATAATCCCATCCTTTCACCTTAGGTAAAGACTTTTGGTTTGTTTTTTGGCTTGCTCTGTTCCAAAAATCTTTGTCAAGAAGACCAGTTCTGAGAGAGTACAGGCTAGTGGAGGGAAAGACACTGGAAAACCATTGTGAGTTTATCCTGTAGTGGTAGGTGGCAATGTGGCTTAAAAAACTCCAGTTCCCTGATGAATTATTTTATACTCCCTGATTAGTCATTTCTTGTATATATAGTGTGTGTTTGTATATATGCAAGTACTCTTCATAACTATTTTAGTGCTTAAAAATGGTCAATTCAATTTACATCTCTCTGTGTTGATCCTTCACACGAATCTCCCTGTGTAACCATTCTACTAAGCTCATTGCAAGTGAATTGGGCATTTAGTGAATTTATTTTATTTCCATATCCAAACTTAGGGAAGTGTTCCTTGAAAACGACAGGTTTTTTCCCCATCCTGTTACCTACACCTCCTGCTCATTAGCAACAAATATTTGCTGAAGAAGTGGAAAGCAGCTTTTTGTTTATTTTAAGTGATAATAGAACAAGTTTTGGCCCAGAAAGAAAAGTTGTGGCTAGGAAGGAGAATGATTCCCAGTGTCAACCATATGTTGCATTCATCTAACTGAAGTGGCTTAATTACTGGTAGATGTTGCTGTGCTCATAAAGATAGCACTAACCTTTTTGCCAAGAGTGTTTGCTGATAATTGCATTCCCTAAAAAAAAAAAAAAAAGAAATCTGAAAGACTTCCTCCCACCAAGCTTCCCTTCTAGTCTTCCTTCAGAGCCCTTTCCCTTTAGGTGCCCACCACAGATTCACATAGAGAGATGCTTGTATGAAAAAATTTCTGGAGGTCTGGCAATGTTAACACTCCAATTTCAGTCTCTCTTGGGACAGAGGAAGAACTGCAGTAGCCATCCTCCAAAAATGCATGGCTCTGCTCCTTGGGAGAGGGAACGGTTGTGATTTGGAGTAGATTATTCCTCTAATTGTGTAGCTGGTTTCAGTCTGGGATTAAGGCGGCTCAAATAATGACCTGACTTTTTGTAGCTGTAATGAGCAGCAAACTCGGTCCTTCAAGACCGCTGATATTTTGAATCTTTTCCAAAAATATTCCTGTCGTCAAATCCAAAGTGGAATTTGGGATTTAGCGCTAAGGGGTAAGTGGGTTGGCAGTAACAACCGGCAGCCTCCCTCCTCTTCTGCCTATGCATTCTCATGATAAAGGGCACTTTAAAGCCCCTCTGACAATGAATGAGTCCTAGTTAAATATTTCAAAAACTTCTTTACATGGTTTCCTCTGATGCATGTACTGTTGAGACATCTGTCTTCTGTACTAATAAAGTAGTCTAGATTTAAAATGAACTTCATTGGATTGCTTTGAAACTATAGGCACATATGGTTCATAATTAGCTGGATATCTCTTATAGTTAAATGATTTTTTTTTTCTCTCTCTCTCTCTCTGTCGCCCATTCGCATCAATAATAGAAGCAAACAAAGTTCCAATTGTTCCCTGTTGCGGGACATTATGTGCCTGAATAAATGGATGTTGGCTGTGTCTACATGGATTTGCCATATGGCTACAAAGGCCGAAAGAATAGGGGCAGTGTGCTTTGTGCCGGGGCGAGGAGGGCCGGCCGGGCTGGGTGGGGCAGGGCGCGGGGGCAGCCGCACACCTTCCCGCACCCCGGGCCCTCAAGGAAAGCACAGCCCAGGGGACTGCAGGATGTGGCCCTCCCTGTTGCGGGTTGGAAACCCTCTGGCTTCTCTCAGGCTATGCCCATGAGCTGGAACTATTTGCTTTGATAAAGAGCCCTGTGCCTAAACTCTCCCCGCGGTGAGAGTTTTCCTCCTGAGTCAGGCTGGGCACACCTCGGGGCAGGCGGTGGCTCCTCTGGCCGAGGTATTTGGAAGCTCAGAGCAGGGATCTTTCATTGCAAAAAGTCCTATTATTAGTTGGGGGCTGGGACAATGGAGGTCCCAAAGGCACCTGCTTTCATGAAAGCGAGAGAAAAGCCCATAAATCCTGGAGGATCCAGCTGCCTCACTCCGGGTATTGTTGGCTTTCATAAGGAAAGGGAAAAGCTATTTTTCTTTTCAAAGGGGGGAAAATCGTATTGAGTCAGCGGCCACTGATGCGGGCGTGTAAAATAATCCCGTTCTGATTAAGCGATCATGGAGCTGGAGGTAATCAATGTTACTTTTACAGCCAGGAGTGTTTGGTGGCCGTGACGGGGGGGCAGAGAGGAGCGCTGCGGGGACCGGGGGAAGATGATGTGGACAAACCCTGAGCCTTATTCACCCTGAACCTCATTCTTTCAGCTCCCTCCCCCCTCCGTGAAAGAGTATCAAACAGAGCTCATAAAGCCAGGGAGTGGTGCCCTCTTGGTCGCCCCCACCTGCTGGGTACAGCATGGGGATGCAGTGCTTCACGGAGGTGCAAGAGTGGGGAGTGGGGTCTGAAAGGGATAAATCTGACCAGTCAGTCCCCATGCCTCTAGGATCCTGGTCCTCTTCTTGCATCCTGCTACCCATCTGTACTCTCCAGCACCCCAACCCTGCATCACCTGTAGCCAAGACCAGCCCTGGTCCGTCCCTCGTCCCTCCTCCCTGAGCGGCACAGGGTTTGGGACTCAGCACAGGGCGTTTGCCTTGACTCCACGGGGCTGTATGCATATCCTGTGGCTTTAACCCCCTCCCAGGCCACAGGGACAAGGTGACACTGCAAAGTGCTGTGGATGCACGGTTGTGACGACACTGTCATCAAAGCGTTAATGTCAAAATGCAGGCTGTTTTGCCTATTGGGAGTGTTTATTTCGTGGATTTGTTGTTTTGCTTTTTACCTCTTTTAGGGCGAGCTGGAACTGCTGCCTTTCCCAGAACTGTGGTGTGTTTGCCCTGTAAATCATTGCTGGGCAAGAGGTACCAGGAAGTGTTTCCCTGCAGTAGCCACGGCAGAGTTACGGGCTGGGGGTTGAGGGCTCGCGGCTGGGGCCGGGGCGGGGCAGGTTTGCACAACTAAGGCAGGGGCGTCCCCCTAGTGCTGAGCCGCTGGGGGTCACAGCCTGCAGGCACCAGTCTTCCCCCCCCCCCCGCCGACCATCCCCAAGCGAGGGAGGTAGCGGCCCAGCCCCCGATGCGGTGTGAAGTGGCTGCCGCAGCGCTGCCGGGGTCCTCGAGAAGGGGCAGAGACAGCTTTGGGACGAAAGGGAAAACGGCTAAAAGTAACCATAAAATGTGGCGAAAGGCCGAATTCAGGGTGTCATGAAGGGCGTGTACTCCCCTCATGCTTGGGTAACTCCAGCAGTACTCAGGAACACTTGTTTTTAAGGGGAAAAAGCCCTCCTTTCCCCTCCGAACTGCACGCCAGCTTTTCGCCGGGGGGCGTAGGTGGAAGCGCTCTCCCCGCGGCGGGGTCGTGCTCCTGGGGCCCCGGGGCGAGGGAGGACTCCCCCCGCGAAGAGTTGGGCTTGGCTCCACCGCCCAAGCCTCGGGGGCTGTCCCTTTCCTCCCCCCCTTCCCTCCGGACTTCCCCCCAAGCACACACTAAGCACCCTTGCAGGCGTTTCCTTTTATTTTATTTATTATTGAAGTTGTGGCATTATTTGCAATGGCAGTGGTACAGACCGGCTCAGGACCCATTGAAACAGATTTGTCTTCAAGTAAAGTCTAAAAAATATTTTGATTCATAGCTACATCTTATGAATGCCAAAAAAAAAATCCACTATAAAAATAAATTTACATTTTGTAAATAACAAAAGCAAATATAGTGCCCTTTGGCTTAACCAAAAGAAAAAAAAAAAGACTATTGGATGTCAAGTTATCCACGTTTCTGACATAAATAGAAAATATAAGTTAGTATAACTCTTAAAAAAAGTTTTGTACAAATATACACTTGTTTTTTTCATTTTTCCTTTTTTCTTTTTTTGCACTGAGAGCTCAGCAGAGATTAAACATTTCTTATAAATGACTTTTTAAAGCTTTACACTTCTGGCCAGTGTACTCAACATTAGGCATAATACATTTCTATACAGAACGTCATACATTGCACAGCTGTACTTTTAACACTGCTCCGTGCGCGGCCGGTGGGCAGGCGCTCCGGCTTCGCTCCGGCTCCAGCTCCCGCTCCCGGTCCGGGCGGGCACGGAGGGGGTCCCACCTCGCAACGCCGCCCGCCCCGGCCCCCCGTGCCTCCGGGGCGCCGCGCCTCCGGGGGCGGCGCGCCTCTCCCGTGGGTGCAGTAGTGCAAAAGTCTGGGGAAGAACAGAAAGAGGGAGGAGGGACAAAAAAAAAAGTCAGAAAAAAAATCAGCGGTGATAGGGGAAATTAAAAAAAAAAAAAAAAAAAAAAAAAAAAAAAAGTGCCGCAGAAAGCGACCGGACACGGCGGCGGGGGGCGGCGGGCAGCCGGCTGGACGCTCCGCCGCCGCCTTGGGCTCCGCCGGCCTTTTTCTCCTCGCGAAGAAATCTGGATGGGGGACGCAGAGGAAGGAGGGGTCCATCAGCCACTGCGGCGGGACGCCCCCCGCCCCCTCGCCCCCCCAGGACCCCCACGCACCTGTGATGCGGGCCGTCGGGCCCCTCCGGCGGGGCCGCATGCCGCGGCGGCGGGGCGCGGCGCGGTTCTCCCGGCTTAGGCGCCCCCCGGGCCCCTTTCCGGCGGCGGGGGATGGCGACGGGGAAGGGGGCGCCTGGAGGAGGGGGACGCGGCACCGTCCCACCTGCAGAGTCTCCCGGTAGAAAGCGGGCACGGCGCCGGCCTCCACCTCCTCCCAGCGCAGGCGGCCGGGCCCCGGCAGCGGCGTGTCGGTCTGGAAGTTGTAGTCCCAGCGGCGCTGGTCGTCCTCCCCCATCTCCCGCAGGCGCTCCCGCAGCTCCCGGCCCAGTTCCTCGTGGTCCACCGGTCCGAAGAGGCTCCTGCAGACGGGGCTGCGGCCGTTCCCGGCCAGGGCTCTCCGGGCGGAGAGGCGCTCCAGGGCGGCGGCGCCGGAGAGGTGCACGTTGGACATCGCCGCCGGGCAGGACGCGGTGGGCTGGGAAGGAGCAGATGCCCCCCCGCCGCTCCTCTCCTCACCTCCCGTCCCGACCTGTCCGCTCACGTTCACACCAGCCCTGCCTCCCGCCTTTGAGCCCCTGCCCCCGGCCGCTGCCTTTTAAACCCCGCTCGCCGCGAGTGCGAGCAAAACACCATTAGCATAATAGTGTTTCCCTGCCGCCGGCCCGCCGCGATTGGCGGGGCCCCCCCCGCCGCCCCCCGTCCCCCGGCGGCAGCGCTGCTGCCCGCGCCCTCCATTGGCTGCGGCGGCAGCGCCGCTCCGCCGGCGGCCGCATTGGCCCGGCCCGGCCCCGCCGCGGACCGGGGGGGCGGCCCCGGCGCTGGCCCTGCCCCGGGGGGCGGCCGCCGAGCTCCCCGCCCGCGGCCGGCCCTGCTCCCTTTGTCTGTCGGCGGTCGCGGCTCCGCCGCCGCTTCCAACCCGGCGACTCTCGGGTTTGGTCCCCCCCCCCCTCCCCGTGATGCCTTTTCCGCGCGTAGGGTGCGTGTGGGAGTGTTTTTGTTATTATTTTTATTATGTTGTCGTTGTTTGTTTGCCTTCTATCCCCCCCTTCCCCGAGGAGTTTTTTCAGCATCCGTGGAGCGCGGGGGTTTGGGGCGGGGGAGGTGATGCGTGTGGTGGAAAACGGGATCGTTTGTGGCTCGGTTTTTTTTATTACGCTGCTGCAAAACAAAGCGAGATGCTTGCAGATTTCAAAACAAGCTGAAGGCTATTTTTAAAAATAGAGCTTCTCAGCTGCATGGAAGTAATAACTTGCAGCCTTAGTGAATAGAAATACATGAAAACCACAGCATTTTCCTCTCCTAACTTTAAAACCCACATAATACGTGTTTGTTCACTGCAGATGAACTAATCTCGCTATTGTGTTGCCAGAGATCAGCTGGCTTGTGCTTTACATTTTCTGGAGGTCACTGCAATCATTGCCTTTTGTCGTTTTGGGATGGAGGAATATGAAAGGAAAAGGAGGGGGAGCATAATTGACACTGTGCTAAAATTGGGCCCAGAACATCATCATAATGTTGATGCACATCTCAGAGGGTCTCTACCACAGTGAGTTTTTCATCTGCAAACAACAAGGGGAAAGATGGATCTTTATCGTATTGTGTGTACTGGGATACCCTAGCTCCGCATGTTCCTATGGCTCTTGCCTTTGGGATATTCAAACCTTTGAGCAAAGACAACTTGGATGGTTTTATTCCCTAGAGGGAATAAAACTAGTATGAATTCCTAGGATGTGCTGGCTCTGCAGGGAGTGTCCAGGTGCTGCCTTACTGCAGGGCTGGAGGGGTTGCAGCTTTAGGCCCCTTAGGACAATGGTGACCTCCCTTAGCAGGCAGGTGTCAGCTTGAAGAAGAGGAGTATTAGTCTTTGGACCCATGGAAAACACTTCCCAGCTGCACCAAAATAAGTCATTTTCCTCTGTGGTGTTTCCAAATTCAGCCCACGTCTTTGACAGAGTCTGTGACAGCCCTCCAGCACTGCCAAGAACACTCGCTCCTGACCTTGCCATGCTGGTGAGGAGCTTGGATCAGCCGGGACAGCTCCCGCCATGTCCCAGGTACTGCACCTTCTGTGGTGTTCCCAAAGTGCCAGGAGATCCCAGTAGTGCCTGTGGTATTGGACCCATGGACCCAGGGTTGGCTCCTGCTGGCAGAGAGAATGGAGAGAATGTTGGAACCTTGCTCATTGCACAGGAAGGGTCTATCCATGCTCAGGCTGATGAACAATGAGATGTCACAGCAGGTTTGATCTCCTGAAATCATCTTCTGATATTTGTGGGGAGAGATGTGCTGCTCAGAGGAGGAGGTCTGTAGCTTTGCAGCCGAGAGAAGATGATGCAGCAAATGTCTTCAGTGTGCAGATCCCTACTTGTTTCCTGGGCAGGCATAGAGTCACACCTGGCAGAAGACTTTGCTAACCAGTGGTACAGACAGACCACTTTCATTTCACTAATAGTGGTAGCACAGGTACTTAGGAAATGTGAAGGCTTTTTTTTTTTTTGTAAGGATACCTGTTCAGATGTGATGGTCTCAACAGACATTTGTGGTTTCCCATGTGAGCTGGGCCACAACCTACCCATGTGGCTATTTTAGGTGAATGTTACCACACTGTCCTTTCTTTCCCAAAATGGCCCTTGAAGATTGCCATGTGGATCTCTCTTGGCCCAAAGGATATAATTTAGGGAGCAAGCCATAAGAAAGGCTCCCCTAGTTCCTCATCACTAAGAGCATATCATCTTAGAAAGCAAGAGGTGAGCATCAGTTTAGCAAGGGTTTAGCTAGGAGAGAAGCGATGGGTCTCACACCAAGCTGGGGTGGTTGGGGAACATGGTGAACATGGCACAGTGTTCAGCTGGGACTTGTCCCAGCAGCCATCAGACATATCTCTTGGGATGTAAGTTAGGGTGCTTTTAGAAATAAATGTGCTATGCAGAGAAAATACTTTTGAGTTCCCTAAGAAACCTGCTGAAAAAGTGCCCTCTATTCAAGACGTGAGCCAAAAGGTAATGGCCAGGTCGCTGCAGACAGGGGCTCTTTGTGAGGAGCCCTCACGAACCTGCTGCCGTCCTTCCCTCCCCGTGCCGGGAGAGGCCAGCGTCCGCCTTTCCTGTGTTCTGCCTCCTCGGTTTTATACATTCCTGCAATGAAAGCTGAGTGAGCAAGATCCCCTGCTATTTGCAAGATGTGGGCGTGCCCTCTGCAAAATCCACATCATTGTCCTTCCAAACCCTTTTCGGAGGTTAGCCAATATTTACGCAGTGCTTGAGGGACGTTAGGAACGACGGTTTGAACATCTGGAGGTTGCCTCGTGTTTGAGGCCACTTCACCTTCCAGCTCACCTGGGAGGTAAAGCAGCTTGGGTCTGAGGTTACCAGCTCTGCTTTTTAATTTGGTTTCCTCACTGTCAGTGCACCACGGTACTTCGACTGGGTTTTTTTTTTTGTCCCACTATACATTTACGTTTTAAGCTAGTGGTGATAGTCCTGAGCACTTTCAGCTCACAATTGCCAGTTCTAGCGGTGTCTGTGTTTCTTTTCTGTGTGGAGATAGAGAGTATCCAGCCCATTTGAGGAGGAAATACTGTATGCACAGAGAGATGTTTTTAATTTAGTGAATCTGTGAATTCTAAGGCCAGAGGGGTAGGTTATGATCCTCTAAACCAGCAGTTTGCCTAACATGAGCCACAAAATCTTACCCAAGAGCTCCTACCACCAAGCCTATTAACTTCTTTAGAAATTCCTGCTCCAGAACACTGAGCAGAGTAATTACCACTATGGTTAGAACAATGCCCCAGAAGAATGAAACATTTTTGCTCAAAATATCCAAGTCATATCTGCTTATGTCAGAAAAAAAAATTACTTTAGCTAGTGTGTATTCCTCCTGGCTGCTCTGTTCTGAAGGAGTGAGGGGAGGGAAAGCAAACTCCTTTATGGCTTGTGCATCATTGCAAAGGGAATGTAATTGCAGGAGATTTATTGCATTTGACTATTCCTGTTTGGAAAGAGTCCAGGTTGACTGTCAGAGCCAGGGCTGAGTCTGATGGCTTGGCAGATAGGGGAAGAGAGGTCCTTGCACTGTAAACTGAGCAAGGAGTAACCAAGGAAATTTAATAAGAAGTTATGGAGGTAACAAAAGAGTGCCTTGGCACTGTCATTCTGATGGGGCTGGCTGTTGCACAGCTCCAGGTTAACTTATTCAGAAGAGAAAGCTTAGGTGAGACATTTGTATATAGAGGCAAATACTCCCCATGACATGGTGCCATAGAGGAGCACTCCTCTGTCTTTTGGCAAGTCTGGAGTGAACTTTTCCTGCAGGAATTTTCCTCAGCATGCTACCAGAGAAGCAGACCTATTGTTGGGCCGCCGAGGCTTGAAGGTTTGTGCTTTGCTCTCTTCTCATTTCCTTTAATACTCTGTTACCATCTACACTCAACAGTGTTTGAGATTGTTCAAATGTCGTGTGATCCACATGTGATTGCTTCATTTCAGAACATGTTATATATCCCATAATTGCTTTAGCAGAGGCACAGGCCAATAAACATCAGTACTTTATTGCCCTTGCACTTCTCTTTTACTGTACATGTGATCATAAGCAATTTGCAATTTTGCATTTACACCAGTGGCAATTTTGCGTGGTACTTTAGAATCCTGCTTAAATAAGCTGATTGCAAGTCTAAGTTAGAACAGACTACTCAAACTCCTCATCAAGACTTTTCTACCATCAAAGTGACACTTCAAATTATTTAAGTTGGTGTACACTGAATTTTCCATTTCTTGACAAGGGCCTAAAATGTCAAATTATTAGATAGCTGGGCAAATCCCCACTAGTTTAGGGATTAAAATGGGAAAAGGTAATTTGAACAGAATTCTGAAAAGATTCTGGCAGCTTTAATTCAATTTGAATTGCTTTCTGTTGTACTCTCAAAAATATGCAAAGGCTAACTTCTCAGAAAAATGCTTCATTTAATTTAATTTCCTTTAATTATTTTTTTCTTATTCTTTCTGTTCTTGGTTGTTAAAAGAATAGCCAGCTTTGCTGTCCAGCTGCTGCGCATCATTAGGGTAGCACAAAGGTAGCAGTGAATTTAGCCTAATCTATTGATGGACTTGCCAGTGCACCAGGGGCCATCGCATTCTCTCTTCACACTCTTTTTTTTGCTCTTTCCATCATGTTGTTTTACTAGATGAAGTCCACTCACCATCTGGCCCTTCATATAGATTGGAAGCCTGACTTGTTTGCAAGATGCTCTCTGTGAAGTGTGGTGTGGGGAGCCTTACCAATGCTGTGCTGTTAACTTGAAAAGCAGGCTGAGAATGGCAGGTACCAAACAGCATTTTGAGCTCACAGTACGTACCCATGGAGGGTGGCTCTTTTTTTGCTGACTGTGTAGTCATATTTGAGCAGCAGTTAAATACTCCATTTATTTATATTCCTTGCTTTTCTGTTGGTATGATTTCTGTCAAAGTTATGCTCTATGCTCACAGGTCCTGTTCATTGCCACTCTTTGCATTAAACGAGAGGTTTGCATTTTGCTTGTTTTGACATTCCCCTTGCCCTTCATCATGATCCATGGTAATATTATTTTTGGAGTAGCTTTTCATAGATTATTTCTGCTTTTGGTAGGGGGTGGTGGTGGTGAAGGGGCCATTACATAGGTTTTATTTTTGGTTTCATGTTTCTTAAGTAAACAGGGTTTTTAATAGTGGTAGTCTAGCATGAGTCCTGAAGGAGATCGTTCATGGCCCGGACTGTTGCCGAGGA